ATGACTAACACTATGTTAATGAATTAATGGCGAAACCTAGAGAATAATTAGTAGAGAAAATTTAAATTGTTGAATTTGACAATGGACATGGTTGATGGAATTGTCAAGATATATAATAGCGGATTATAATAGTTGATTTAATTAGTAAATTGTAAAATAAATATATGATAAATAACGGTTGTATAGTTATTCAGTAAATGTTATGTTATCTGTGTTATCTTATGAATCCTTGATCTCTACCCAAATTGTTCATATATATGAGTTTTTTTTNAAAAAAAAAAAAAAACGTTTTAGCCAAAAACAGATAATCAAATAAGTTCTTTAGTAAAGAAGCTATTTAGAATATTTAACGGGTCAAATTTCTAAATTGGTTTCATTCCGTTAATTTTGTTTCAATCCACTAATATATATAGAGATGTGGTTCAAATGAGAACCAAGTCTTAGTGTGAGAACCGTGAGAACCGCTATTTTGAATTGTGCGTGGTGCTATGATTGATTGTGTTTGGTGCTATTTTTAACTAGGATGAATTTTTTTAAAAATAGCAACATAATTTATATTACCATTAGTGAAAATGATAGAATCATTTAATATTAAAAATAGCATCATATATAATTAAAAATAGCATCAAATACGGTTTTCACGGTTCTCACACCAAAACTAGTTTTTATTTGAACCAACCCTTATATATATATATATATATATATATAGGGAAGAAAGTAACCAATGTCATATACATATTCTGTACCAATATGTAAGTCATTTTAAATTTTTAATAGTGTAGCATGATAATTTTCAAATAGGTTGGGTGGAAATTATTTATTTCAATATCTTAATTGCATGATCAAATTTTCCTCTTAATTTGGATATTTATTAATTTAGCTAGTCATTATCCAAATATGGTCATGTGTTGTAAATTATGTGTTAGTTTGACTTTGCATTTGAATACAAGACATACCTACCTGGAAAATCGTCTACAAATTTTTTTATTTTCTTTTTTCCACTTTATGAAAAGAAGTTGAAATGGTCATTCAAGTCTCAACAGCGTACAAAATCAAGTGAATTATATTTTCTTTTATATATATATATAAAATTTATTATATATTTTGCAACCCAAGAGATTGTACACATTGTGCTCAGGAGTAGATTTATACACGTTTATATGAAAACATCTATAAGTATATATAATATATACATATATATTATTAGTGATGATAAGTGATATAATTTTTTATTTTTTCAATTCTTAATCGAAAAAAGTCATTTTTTTGCATTTTTTTGCATTTTTTTTTTGTGGCACATCACGATAACCGCGACAAACATAATTTGTACATTTTTCTATGCGTCTAACTAGTTAAAAAGCTAAATTTTAATATTTTATTAATTAATATCTTTATTTATTTTTGAACATAAATCGAAAATAAATAAAATATTTAGTTAATAAAGTAAATATCAAATCTTATGATTAGGACAAATTTTAAAATAAGGAAAGAGATTATAGTAAGTTTTCTTCTACAAGACTCTCTCTCCTACACTTATAATAGAGGTGGCCAAATGTCGGGCCGTGCCCGCCGACTTGCTGAGCCCGTAACCGGCCCGACTATTCCTATGGGCCGGTTCAAGTGAATCGGCCCCACCCGACGGTTCATTAAACCGCCGGGTTTTTATCTAAAAAAAATAAAATCAACTATGACCCGCCTTCCAACCTGCAACCCGACCCAACCTGACTCGAACAGCCGAGACCAAAAAAGAAAAATGAAGAACCGGAACCGACCCGCATGGCCAAGGTTCTGGTTCAATGAACCAGCAAAATTCGAGTCGGGTGCGGTCCGGTTCGAGACCGATTCTGGGCTGGTTCGGCGGGTCGAGTCGGAACAGGCCATGTCTAACCCATAGATAGGGTTCTCCTCAAGGCCACAAGAGAGCACCTCCTAAATCAAAGTCTAAGTTCAAAAGTTATTAAGAACTCCCTTGAAGATTTGAAGACGTTCTTGAAGATTCAAAGGCGCTCAAGTAGACGTGGCCAAAGCCCGGGCCGTGGCCCGCCGAGTCGACGGGCCTAAAATGCTGGGCCCATAACCGGCCCGGCTATATCTAAGGGTCGGTTCAAATGAATCGGCCCGACCCATCGATTACTGCCGGTTTAAAAAAATAAAAATAAAAAAATAAATAAAGTTACAACTGTGACCCGTTGGAAAACTCTGGCCAGGCCCGGCCCGACTCGGCGGGTCAGAAAGAAGCACAACACGACCCGTAATTGGCCCTTAAGGGGTTCCAGGCCAATTCAAAAACCGGCTATACCGAGCCGGTTTACGGGCCGGGCCAACCTGTGGCATGTCTATGCTCAAGTTAGAGATCAACGTTCATCCAGAATTAAGTCTCCTAACCTATGACGTACGCTCAATGGAGAAGAAAGTCAAGACGAAGAAAAGAGGTGGTGATCCTTCTCCAATAAATAAAGTGACATCCGTTCCTCTCAAATCATTCCAAAACTATCAGCGACGTTTAAACAACATTCAAACCACGTTCGTTAAGAAGTTCAACAATATAACATTTGATCTGAGAAATAGCTTTCAAGCTCTCGAGTCAATGTTATTCAAGTCCAAATTCAAATTAGAAGATAAGATCCAAGTCCACGAAGAGAAGAATCAGAGGAGATAAATAGAGAACGTACCCGCATCATTTGATCAAAATATATCATGTTGTACAAAAGTTTTACATTTTTTACAAAATTTGTTGTTACAAATTAAAATTTGTAATAATGAATTTTATGAAAAACATAAAATTTTGTACAAGTTGATTTTTATTTCGATCAAAAGATATGCGAGTACAATCTCTATTTATCTCTTCGTGGACTTGGATTTGGATCTTTGAAAATGAATCTGGAGTTGATTTTATTGAAGACGACGTATTGGAGGACATGCTTGTTTGCTCTCCCTAGAATGTGGATTTTGGCTTTAAATTTTAATATTTTATTAATTAGTGTCTTTATTTATTTTTGGACATAAATTCGAGATAAATAAAATATTTAATTAATAAGGTAAATATTTCTTGTCCACCAAGTCAAATCTTAAGATAAGGAAAAAAATCTTAAAATATGGAAATAGATTATATCAGATCATGAAGGACCAATCATGACTCTCTCTCCTACACCTATAAATAGGCTCTCCTCAAAGCCACAAGAACACATCTCATAAATCAAAGACATATCACAAGTCATATTCAAGTACAAGAACTCTAGAGATTCTTTCAACGAGATTCAAGTGTTCTTGAAGATTCAAAGACTTTCTTGAAGACTTGAAGCAAGATTCAAGCGTGTTCAACCTCAAGTCCGGCGTTCAATCCGAAAACAAGTTGTCAAGCCTCCGAATTAAGTTAGTAAACTCAAAACTAGTTCGGAGAAGATCCAAGATCAACTTTGAGGCGAAGACCAAGAACTCGTGTTCTTCACATTCTTAGGAAATAACAACGTTTGATCCAAAATCAAGGGATTAATGTTTATTCAAATAAAATCAAGTCAAGGAGAAAATCAAGCTGAAGATTTCTCTCCATGACTCAAATAGTTCGTGAGAAGAATCAGAAGAGATGTATAGAGATTGTACCCGCAAAATCGTTTGATCGAAATATATTAAAGTTGTACAAAAATTTTATGATTTTTATAAAATTTATTGTTACAAATTTGGCACGCCCAGTGGGACATTCACTACCTCTCAGCTCTTCTCTTTAAATCAAGTTCGAAGATCTTTGAAGATGCATGAAGACTTCTTTGAAGACAATGTACAAGGGGGCAACTAAGAATGATGTCTCCTCAAACCATGAAGCTGTTGAAAATCGTCGACTTCATCAAATTCATGCAAATGGAGGCAACCAAAAGAGGCTCTACAGTGCTTCTTAATGCAAATTCAATGGGGCTAATTTACATGAAGAGCTTCATCTAATCAAATTCAAATGCTCCTTGATATGAGCCTAAACTATCTACAAATTCAAATACTCTTTGGTATGAGCCTAAACTATCTTCAAACTCAAATGCTACTTGATATAAGCCAAAACTATCTACAATTCTCCTTGATATGAGCCTAAACTATCTGCAAATTCAAATTTTATTTGATATGAGATTAAACTATCTAAAAGACTCCTTGACATGAGCATAAAATGTCTACATATTTGAAAATTCCTTGGCACGAGCATAAAATGCCTACAAATTTGAAGGCTCATTGAGACGAGCATAAAATGCCGACAAGGATCCTTGACACAAGTATAAAATGTCTATAAATTTGAAAGCTCCTTGACACGAGCATAAAATGTCTACAAATTTGAAAACTTTTTTACACGAGTATAAAATGTCTACAAATTTGAAACTTCTTGACACGAGTATAAAAGCGTCTATAAATCAAATTTAGAACTCCTTGATATGAGTATAAACTATATACAAATTAAATCAAATGAAGAACTCCCTAATACGAGTATAAACTATCTGACAAATCAAATCAAAACTCCTTGATATGAGTTTAAACTAACTACAAATCAAGTCAAATGAAGAATTCTTTGATATGAGTTTAAACTATCTACAAATTAAAGTTGAAGAACTCCTAGATAAGAGTTTAAACTATCTGAATGTCCAAACTAATTCCAAAATTCTGAGACTCATTCACTACTAAGACATTTGTTCGTGAACAAGAAATTGAAATTTAATATTTTATTAATTAATATCTTAATTTATTTTTTGTAACATAAATCTAAGATAAATAAAATATTATTAATTAATGTCTTTATTTATTTTTTAACATAAATCTAAGATAAATAAGATATTTAATTAATTAAATAAATATTTATTGTCCACCAAATCACATCTTCATATAAGGAGAAAAATCTTTGATAAACAAAAAGATTATATCAAAATAACAATCACAAATCAAATTAATGTCTTTCTTATCCAAATTTTTCTCCCTTGCACCTATAGAGTTCTCCTCAAAAACCACAAATTCACAACACATAAATCTTATACAAACTTGCCCATATTTTAGACTCTATACTAACGCGTTACTGTTAATTATTCCCATTTTACCCTTTCCACACAATTTATATTCTCCCCCAACAACAACAACACGCCTTCAGAAAGAAGAAAAAAAAAATAGTACTAATAGAAATGAGAAAAGAGAAAGCGAAAAGCAGTTCATATTTCCTCACAGCTTTTTCGCTGTAGAGAGAGGTAGAGAGAGAAAGTTATGATCTGTAATTATGAGCAGATAATAAGCAAATCGGAAGATGTTGAGAAGAAAACCAATGGAAGTTGTAGTCGCTAAGCTCCCAAAACACGTTATCGCCCATTCTCGCGTTTTCCTCTTCGGATTCTACTGCTGGGATTGGGAATTCCTCACCGCCCTTCTGCTCTTTAGCTGCTAATTTCCATATATCCCCCAAAATCAATCAATTAATTACTTAAATTACACGCTCTATAAGAAGTAGATTTTATTGAAAAAAAAATTCTCTGTATATTTTTTTTTCCTTCTTTCTATTTCCCTAAATTGTGCCGGGCCGGGCCGGGCCGGGCCGTGGGAAAATGGCGCAGAGGTCGGTGCCGGCGCCGTTTCTGACAAAGACTTACAATTTGGTGGATGATCGGGAGAGTGACGACGTCGTTTCGTGGAACGAGAGTGGTACGGCGTTTGTGGTCTGGAAAACGGCCGAGTTTGCGAAGGATTTGCTACCGAATTATTTCAAGCACAACAATTTCTCTAGCTTTGTTCGTCAGCTCAATACCTATGTAAGTCTTCTTCTTTTTATTTTTACGTTTTTTTTTTTTTTTTGGATTTTNCATATGTACATTTTAGGTGGTGTGAATTGTAAAGCCTCTTTCTATGGAGGTAATAAATAAAGATACAAATAAATGTGTTAGTTCATAAAATAATATAAATAAAAATATAAAATATATAAGTATGTATTTTTATTAAAAACCTACTAACGTTTGATCTTTCTAACGAAGTGGTGCCGATAAGTTAAATGACAAGGAAAAACAATAATTTAAGTGTAATAACCTACTTAACCTCGTTATACTCAATAATATCAATATAATTAAATAATATTATCTGTCATTCTAACATATCACTTTAACTTTATACTCAATAATATCAATATAATTAAATAATATTATCTGTCATTTTAACATATCACTTTAATTTTAATTCACTGTGCATCAATTTACATAATTTTAACTATCTATGACTTTCAATCATCTATCTCCTATCTTTACATCAAATTAATTATAATTAATTTATTTTAAATATTATTTTAATATAAATTTAAAATTTTACTAAAATTTAATAATATTAATTTTTAAAATTAACTCTGATTAATAAAAAAACTAATCAAATACTAATATAAGCACACCCTAATTCCCTACTAGATTGCATTTTTCGAGTAGATCTAAGTAGTCTAACTTTAATAATTTCATGGAATGAATATTATTAATGCGTAAAATATAAAAATTGAATTATAATAAACAGTATGCACCTGGGAAGACAAAACGTCTTTTCTGACATTATTAACTATACAATAAGTTTTACATTTAATATACAAAATTCTAAATAGCGTATTTTATCAAATGCAATTTGAAGTTTACAGACTTCATTATTCACTATTTCTTTTCATGGTTGTCCATTTTTTATAAATTAAGATTATTTATATAATTTTAAGAATTTGGTATATTATGGGTTTTATATAGATTCCATCTCCGGATTCCCGAACCTCCTATAGCAATAGATGATTCTTTGCCGGTTGAGCCTAACAATTAATGGAGTATTTTCTAATATTTCCTTATACATGAATGTATCAACAACATGTACATAAGTGTATAGGTGGTTGCTAGCTAAGCAATATCAAATAGAAGCAAAAGCAATCTATGGCAAATTCTGGTTGAATTTTCTATTTATTAATAATTGAAACTTGGCTTCGTTTGGTCTCTAATAATTATAATAATAATACTGAGGTAGGAAAATAGAGACTATAAGCGCCGATATAGTTGAATACTTGAATTAATTGAATTAGCCAAGAAACTTCTATCTTGTTCGAGTTTTCTTTCTACAATATTTCAATTCACACGTACCGATCGAACAAAGCAATAAGGATATATGTCTTAAGTAATGAGTTTTCCCAGCGTTTGAAACTCTAGAACCTATTTTAAGTACAATTTCAACTCGATTACTCGATTTTGCTTACCTGATTTCTTTTTTAAAGAACAATTAGATCAATGATCTCTCTTATTGCATGCTATTATTATGCCTTTTGTCTTCTGTCCAAATTTGAAGATCTTCTACGTCGAAATTTCTGATTTTTCTTCTAATAGATGCTTTATCATACAAAATTTTTAATGAAATTTTAATTGATCAATTTCCTTAAGGACATAAACTTTCTCGTTGAATAATAATATTAAAGAAATGCACCGTGTTTTCATTTCAATTTAGACGTATTACTATATTTTACTCGTTAAATGTTTTCTGTTTACCAAATTTATTGTTCTTGCGAGGTCAGATTTACAATACATGGGCCAAAAAGGCACAGTTAAAAGTTGATATTTATGTCATAAGTTACGGCTAATATAGCGGCTATTGAGTAAATTAGGTGATGTGCGTCTACGCATGATGATTAAAAAGTCGTTAAAAAAGTCTTCTCTTTAATTTGTACCAAAAAATAAGGTCTTCTTTTGGGTGCCAGCGTATGTGCCTGTCTCGTGATGCCTTGACTTAGAAGTATCTCGAAAAATGAAATAAAAAAATACTGATTATTCGATTTGTGGAACGAAATTTAAAGATACTGGGTATATATAAGGAGAGTCATGTTCATATTCAAGGACCGTATAGTAACGAATATATAAGTGATATAGTTGTTATTATTACTTTAATAGTTTTTTGAAAACAATTTGCAAGGCAATATTTTTTTCTGTTAATTTTTTTTGTAAAAATGCCTTATGCATGATTGGGTTTACATACGAGGCTTTATATTAAAACTAGTACGTATCCCGTGCGATGCACGGGACAGCTATATTAAATTAGTTATTTTCACACTCTTGTCCGTTTAAATCTAAAAAATAATAGGGTTATTATCTATTTTCTACCTGTTTTAATCAACGTTAAGTCTAAAAAACAACAGGTTATGATAAGTTTTTTCCCACATCTTTTAACCAACGTTTTTTAGCCAGAACATTAAATATGAGCATGTTAGAGGTACCTTGTAAAATAATTAATATATTTATCTCACTAAAACATTTATACTAATAAAAATTTATTTTTAGCATATAAATTTATCTCTTGATATAAGAGAAAGTAACAGTTTTACTTATTGTTGTTCACTATATAATATTTAATTATTATTTTATTATATAATAAAAAGGAATACTGTTAAATTGTGTAGTAGAATTGTTATAAAATTATATGAATGATTTTTGTTATAATATAAATTTAGTATCTTTTTATGATTTGATAATATAACTATAATATATTTTTAATGGTACAATCTGAAATCGGATTATAGAATTTCAATACATAAATAATAAAATTTTTGGTAAAAAGATAAGAAAGAAATTTCAATTTCAATCTACAAAAAGTTTAAAACGATTTTATGGGATTTTGTTGACTAAATGGATTGTATGAGATAAAATAAAACAAATAGAAGATAAGAAGGAAACTTTCAATATACAAAAAATTAAAGCCGATTTTGTGGGATTTTTTCGCAGGAAAACCGATTGTATGGGAATAGTAATAGCATTAATTGAATCGCATAGCATTAATTTCAATATAAAATAATTAAATAAAATACATGCTGAAAATAGTAATAGCATTAATTGCAATTGACTTTTTTTGATACTATTTATAGCAAATAGGATCACTTTTTATATAAGTATAGATAGATTTGAAATACGCAAATCGACAATAAAAATTCGGATATAAATTGAAATTTTAATACTTAGTTCAAAAAAATAGTATTCTTTGAAAATGATATATACCTTATCTGTTCAGAAAGATGGAATAATTAGATATCAATTTATTTATGTACAAAAAAAAAAAAGAACAAATTCATATGGTAAATAGAAGAAAATCGGATTGTTTCCTTTTCAATAGAATCCATATTTGACCAAAATATATGTTAGCCGCAATGAAATATATTCTGTGAGAAACATTCTATAAAATACATGCTAGCCAATATTTGACTGTACAAATATAAAATTGATTTTTCAATTTGAATTTCAAAATTTGATCGTCACTTTTCAAAAATTTTAAAAAAAGTTATTAATAAAGGTAAAAACGAAATTTTTTGGCGAGATTTTAGCTGCTTTTTCATGTAAATGTCAAACCTTTTCATATTTATATAGATATATATAAAAAAAAAATCTTCAATCTAAATCGCGTATGGAATTTATTAAAAAGGAAAAATTGAAAACTTTGAAAGAAACACATGCAGTTTTCAACCAAAACTAGTACGTACCCCATGCGATGCACGGGACAGAGATATTAAATGAGTTATTTTCACACTCTCGTCCGTTTAAGTTTAAAAAATAATAGAGTTATTATCTATTTTCTACCTGTTTTAATCAACGTTAAGTCTAAAAAACAACATGGTTATTATAAATTTTTTTCCACATCTTTTAACTAGCGTTGTTTTTTTTAGGCAGAACATTAAATATGGGCATGTTAGAGGTAGCTTGTAAAATAATTAATATATTATCTCACTAAAACATTTATACTAATACAAATTTAATTTTAGCATATAAATTTATCTCTTAATATAAGAGAAAGTAACAGTTTTACTTATTGTTGTTCACTATATAATATTTAATTATTATTTTATTATATAATAAAAAAGGAATACTGTTAAATAGTGTAGTAGAATTGTTATAAAATTATACGAATTATTTTTTTTACAATATGGTTTTAGTATCTTTTTATGATTTGATAATATAACTATAATATATTCTTAATAATACAATCTGAAATCGGATTATAGAATTTCAATACATAAATAATAAAATTTTTGGTAAAAAGATAAGAAGGAAATTTCAATTTCAATTTACAAAAAGTTTAAAACGATTTTATGGGATTTTGTTGACTAAACGGATTGTATGAGATAAAATAAAACAAATAGAAGATAAGAAGGAAACTTTAAATATACAAAAAATTAAAGCCGATTTTGTGGAATTTTTTCGCAGGAAAACCGATTATATGGGAATAGTAATAGCATTAATTGAATCGCATATCATTAATTTCAATATAAAATAATTAATTAAAATACATGCTGGAAATAGTAATAGCATTAATTACAGTTGACTTTTTTTATACTATTTATAGTAAATAAGATCTCTTTTTATATAAGTACAGATACCTGAGCTACATTGCTACTTTTTTTCTTTTTTTTTTCTTTTCTTTTTCTTAATTAAGGTGGCCAAATGGGTCCGTATCATCTTTGACTAACTTATGATTTTGGTAAAGAGAAATGTCATAATCTTGCTCTATCGATGCTAGATGATCTTTTTATTATTTATATACAAGCTAGTCCAATTAAAATCTATCGTTACAATATCTTATCGTCATTTACTGAAATAAGTGATTCAACATTATAAGCAACAGGATGGACTAATATATCTTTTATAGAAATTGAGATATAATATTGTAGTTATTATTTGGTTCCATTTTACATGTCTTTTGGGGATCGATTAAAAATTTAAGGATTTCATAAATTATTACGCTATGAGTGATATATATAAAATTGACCCAAAAATATTAGGCTATAATTTCATAATATTGTAGGTATAAATCTACCAACATCACGTAGATGTTTCTTTATATCAACCATAATTCTAGCAACATATCCACTTAGATCCTGACTTTAATTAACAAATCCACCAAACCATTCTAATATTATCAAAACAGACACAAGTTGATTCTCATTCATATGTGAAGTTTTAGAATTAAAGCAATCTGGATAAAGCAAAATAAATCTCTATCCCGAATTTGCTAAATAAATATAAGTTAAATTAACAATCTGTGTGGACTGGATAAAGAAAATAATCTCCATCCCGCATTTGCAAAATAATTAATGTGTGCTATTTGTTAAATGGTAGTGGATCTAATAAGTTGTTAGGTTATCCCGAATTTGCAAGATAAATAAGGTGTGTTATTATTTATTAATTGATAGTGGATCTAGGTTGGTAGATTGTGATTTATTTATTTATTTATTTTTTAAAATTTTGGGCTCAACTAAACATTAAGTTGAACATTTATTTTTAGCTTTCTGAAATCATGAAACATAATATTTCAGCTGTGACCCCATCTTTTTATTGTAGACCCCGCGTATGGATTTATGTTGTGCCTTATTGAGCCAAAATTGGTCTATGATGTATTGTATTGTAATTTTGTTTCTTAATCGTGTTTGTGTATTGATGTTATTCGTAATCATTTTAGAATAAAATAAATTGTCAGGTGTTATATCAATCTTTATCTTCATGTGCATGCAGCAAATTAGGGAGACTGTGTACATTTATCACTGTTTTCTTCACATACTTATTTCAATTTTATTTTACAAGTTTGTAATTTACAATATTTATTATCCAACTTCCCCTTTTCCCTAGGGTTTTCGCAAAACCGTACCCGACAAATGGGAATTCGCGAACGAGAACTTCAAACGAGGGCAGAAGGATCTCCTCGTCCACATCCGCCGCCGGAAAGTTGCTCCCTTGGCGACTACTAAAACTGTCGCCGCTACCGCCGGTAAACCCACTTCGCCGACGAACTCCAACGAGGATCTCGGATCGAGCTCTACCTCATCCCACGATTCCAAAAACCCTAGCTCGGCCGAGACCCAGGCCTCGGCTCAACTGGCCGATTTATCTGGCGAGAACGAAAAACTAAAGAAGGACAATCAAATTCTGAGCTTTGAACTCGCCCACGCCAAAAGGAAGTGCGACGAGTTGATAGCTTTACTCACGCGGTGCGTGAAGGTGGCGCCGGAGCATATCACCCGCATCATGTCCGGTGGAGATGATGATGAGCTGGCTGATAGCTGTGGAAACATTGACTTTGATGACAATGGCGAAAACGAGAATTGTGTGAAGCTGTTTGGGGTGGTAGTGAAGAAGAAAAAGAGGGGTTGTAGTGAGAATAACGAGTTTTCTAGGCCTCAAAAGAAAGATTTGAAAAGGAGCCTCGATGTTAGCGTGCCGTGGATGAAGATATCTGCATCGTCTGGCGAGTGCAGTAAGGTTTGTAACTGAGATCGTGCCACGTGTAATGTGACAATCAAAATAAGTGTTGTTTAAGAGTGGTGACTAGTTATTAATTCGGTGTAAAAGACCTTTATGATCGGTGTGAGATGGAAGATCAAAAGCAAATGGGTTTTCCGTGTCGGACTTCGAGCATTTTTATACGGTTGATGTAAATTTCAGTTTCAAAGGCTTTGTATTACAGTTTGTTACTATGGACAAGTTTATGTATCTGATAGTAACTATAAATGATTACTATAATCATCATATGATGTTCAGATATATGTATGACTGGTTGACATAAGATTGTTCTGATTTGAATGTAAAAGTTATTATAACTCTTTGCTATGGATGTAAGTTTTGAGTTATACTTTTAGAGGCGTTTACTTTGCTGGATGGTATTGGATAATTAAAATTGTCACTCCTTATCTTGCGTTTACTTTAAATGATTTGGATAGGACTGATCCCAGTTAGCACGCATGTGGCATGCGGGTCCCACGCGTTACTGATTCACTGATAAATGAATCCCGGCCTGATCCCTAGATTTTTTAATCCTATCTCAACATTAACCATTTTGTCCTCAAAATTGGCTACGGAAAGACAAAATTACCGCTTAATGTACTCGTATTTACAATTTTATACCTATATAAAAAAAATCGTCCATTGCCCTAACTGCAGAAACGGGATCCAACCTTTGAGTTCATTTCTTCTTTAGAGAGAGAGAGAGAGTTTAGTGCTGAAATTTGTTGGGTTTGTTATCGCGATTTAAAGCAATAGATTGAGTTTGTGCAAAGAACATTAATTGAGATTTTGAGGCTAGATTTCTGCCCACTGGAGGCGTGGATACACACAGGTGAAGCCATGGCCAGGGTTCCATTTTTTCAGCAACAACAGAGTGCTAATTTCTCAGGCCAATGTCCTTTTTCATGTTTGGAATTTGACTCGTTGATATACTTAAAGTTTCATCCGCAGAATGTCGATGGGGCCCGCGTCGTCTCCGTATTAGGGTGGCTCTCGTCATCCCCTTGATTGTTTTGGGTAAGTTTAGGGTTCGGGCTCGACGAAATTTTTGAAAGAGGGGCAAATGAAATGTCCGAATTGGCTTTAATTTTATGAAATTGCGGGTAAATTGGGCATTTAAAGTCTTATCCTATCATTGGTCCATGATAGTAAACATAAGACAAATTTCAGATTTTCAATCCTATAATGTAAACATAGGACAATATGCTGACATGTAAAGTTGGTCGGACTATTATGTGTAATCCCATATATGGAAAGTAAATGAGGCCTTAAGGTACGTTTGGTTATCATTCTTCATAGAGCTTTATATTATCACAAGTTGGAATCACTCAATATCCACCTAATTGATAAACAGTAGTGGTGAGTATCGGTGCAGTTCGGTGCAAAACCGCATCCATCCGCAAAAAACTGAAATAAAAAATGTACAGATGTCCAGACTGAACCGCACCAAAGTTAAAGGAAAACCGCACCGAAATTTCCGATGAGATTTCCGTTCGGTTAAAACCGCAAATATAATTTTTTTGCCAATAATAACCCTCATTAATGAAGATAGAGATGAATGTTTTAAAAAAAAAAGATGAAGAGAATATAAAAAGACGTAGTGTATTTATTAACTAAATGAGGGTAATCTATATATCTAAAAAGGTTGATGTAAAATCCTTTTTTAGAAATCTAAAAATAATTGAGTTGATTTTTGACTTTCTATTTATGTATTCTACTTTAATTAAGCAAATGGATATTCTCCTTAATAATGGTGATATTTCCGTTAATTAAGCATGTGAAATTGATTGTCCGATGCAAAAATCATGGGACTTACTATCTATTCAAATACAATCCATAATTATTTTATCACTTTTGGTTAATAAAAAATATGTGAAATTGATTGTCCGTTGCAAAAATCATGGGACTTACTATTTATCCAAATACAATCCATAATTATCTTATCACTTTTGGTTAAAAGGATATTCACTACCACCATTACAACTCATCATTCATGAGTTCAGAGAAAAAAAAATACAGAATACTTTTTCATCGCATATACAATATAATGCTTCCGGCTGGGGTACACTTAATTCCGTTAAACAAACTTTTTTTTTGCGTTTGAGAGCAGTGCGCATTATTGAAACTCATCACGAACGGGAGAGCTGTAACGTATTTTCATGATGAACATGTAATATTTACCTTTGTTATTTTAATTTTTGTAAAATATGTAAACTTTAAACGTGTTTTTATATATAAAATTGTATATACTTTTAAACATGTTAGTTGCGCAAATTTTAAGGATATAGATGTGTGTGTATGCTAACTTTAAGTATATATATTTTTCTTATAAAATAGTCTAGACAAAATTGAGGTAATTTCACATTTTTCAATAATAATATAAAATATTTTAATACTTTCACATATGTTATATAATAGTCTACGTATTCTTAATGTCTTTTGGTTGTAACATTGTTAACACATATAATATTAGATACTTTTAAACATATTTAGATAACTTTTTTACTCATTCTTTAATATCTATGTACATAAAAAGAGAATAAGATTTATAAAAGATTTTCCGGCAATATACTAAATGTTAGATGAAAAATCTCATTTTATTTGTTATATAATATTTCGAGTTGCATTAATTTTGATTTGTATGTGTAAAATTGATAAATTAAGCGTATGAAAAGGAGCGTACGAATTACTGTAAGGATTTAAAAAATAAAAAATAAATCTAATTTTTGAATATTTTTCTACTAACTTCTAAACGAATTTATGTCATAATTCGTCATAATTTTCCCACATCATGTCAATATTTATTTTATATATACTAGGTAAAAGGTAAATCATTATCTCAATATTTATTCTATATATTCTAAGTAAATCTTCTCATCTATCTCAACGGTCCGCAGGTAGTATTTCATACTTTTCTATTCATAATCAAATATACCAAAGCTTCACAAATTTTACTTCACAAAGAAAGTGTTCAATAATTTATAATTTTTTTTTTCTTTGCAATCCATTTATTTTTGTTACATATATATAAATTATATTATTTTTAATATTTCACACGTTAAACATTTCAGAAAAATATATCATCCCGTGCATCGCACGGGCTACGCGCTAGTAATGAGAAAATAGTAGTACAAGAAAAAAAGAGATTGAAATTGGGGCAAAAAATTAACTTCAGATCAAATGATTAATTCTTAGAAATTGACAAGCTCAGCATATATTTTCTATCGATAAAAGTATCACAGGAATCAGAAAAATGAAGGTGAGACTGTGAGATCGAGAGACAGGCTGCGGCGTGAGACCTGAGGATTGAGATTGAGAGCGAATGCCGGGTGCGAAAAATATTAGGGCAAGAGGATTTTAAGTTTTAAATTGAATTATGAATTGAAAACGTGATGTAGTTGAATTGTTGATGTTGTTAATTGGAAATCAAAAGCGTGTTACTGTGTAGTGTCAAGTGGGTACAAAACTACAAATAAATTGACACTTTAATGTATTCGGTGCAGTTCGGTTAAAACTGCACCTTTTGGACACAAAACCGAACCGCACCGAAATGTTTTGTGGTTTTTCCAAAATTCAAACCGAACCGCAAACTGAACACTATAGAAATCGAACTGAACCGCATACATCGGTTCAACTTGTTTTTTTGGTTTCTGCTCAATTTTGCTCACCCCTAGTAGTGACAGAAGTTTCTTATTTCATGGGTTTTTCTCTTTGGTAATATATAAAAATAGTTCAGTGGTCCAGACTTGTAGCCCAACTTCTCTTCTATTACTGAACTTCGCTTCTAAAGATTACATTGACCTATGGTCGCCTTTCTTCTAGTAGCTGCCCTTCCTCCAAGACTCTCGTCAGGAAGAGCGGATCTTCTCACTTTTGAATTGGAACTTTCCGTCTGCAACCCTATCCTCATATTACAGAGAAACATGTTAAAATATGTATCTTTTAATTAATCAGGTGCGGGAAGTTATAACTTGTTGTATCTTAGAAGCATTCATTGTTAATTGTGGGTATTTAATGGAAAAACTTTGTACTATGGAAATCATGTTTCACGTGCCTCGATTTTAATTTATTTTTAGGGTAAATTGCACCAAACCCCCATGTGTTTAACGAAATGTGCGCGTTTTCCCACTGTGTTTTAAAAAATGCACTAGGCCTCCTTGTGTTTAAGTAACCAATGCACACGTTCTTTTTTTTTAATTTTCTGTTAACGCTGTTAATTCTTTTACAAAAATCCCGTTATGCCCTTCGAATATTATATATATATTTGCAATAAATTGAATTTATCACGGTATATTGGATATATCCCGAGAAATTGAATTAACAAAAAATTTTGTATCTGGGGTTCGAACATGAGACCACCTAAGAGCATAGCAAGCAAGCAACCACTACACCACTCAAGTTTGAGTGTTAGATGTAGTAAAGTTTAATATACGTTGACATTACATATGGATAAATGAAATTTAATTTAGAAGATAATGAAAATTATATTAAATCAAATTATTAATATATAAACATATGATAAATTAAAATATAATGAACCAAATTATATAAAATTAAGCGAAACAAAAATATAAAAATTACTTAGTATATTAGACAAAAACAAAATAATTAAAATAAATTTAAAAATTAAAGTTAAAATAATAATATTTATTATATTTATATTTAGATTATTTTTATTTTATTATTTATTTTAATTTATATTATTCCATATTATTTTATTGCATTGTTCATTTTATATTATCTTAGTTAACAAACTTTATTTATTTTGTTTTTAAGATAATGAAATAAAACATTTATTTTTATTATTATTGTTTTTCATTTCAAAATTTATATGACTAAATTATTTTATTAATTAAAAATTATAAAATTATTTAATTTTAATTCATGCTACTATATTAAATTTATCTTACTTTATTTTAATTTAATTGTTTCATTATTTTTATTTTAAATTTAATTTATTTCAAGTTATTATTATTTATTAATAATTATTTAACTTATATGAATTTACCTATTAGATTTTTATTTATTTTATTTACTTTATTTTTATTTTATTTAATTCATTTCCGTATTACATTATAAATATATGTGTGTTCAATAGTTTACACAACATTCATGTAGCCTAGTGGTTGTGTTGTCGTGCTCTTTCTTTGCAACTTAGGTTTGAGTCCTACTTCCTACATTCTATATAATTTTATCTTTTGCAATAAAATTCAGGAAGGTATAAGAGTAAATTAGTAATTCTGAAAGTAAAAAAATTGAACAAATCTCGCAGCTGAGGGGAAAGGCTTGCTTCGGTGCCGGGGTAAGAATTTTTGCCCCTTACGCGGGTGAGCGTATCCATTGTCCCCCGCCGGGCTGCATCGGCGTCTATCGAGCGAGCATCTTGCTCGGCCTCAGGTTTCCGTTGCCGGGGCTTTGAACGATATCCTCAGCGACCTCGGCATTGGTATCAGTCAGCTCGTGCCGACAGTTTTCGCTCGGCTGGTCAGCCTCATCGTCTTGTTCCGTCAGCAAGGGTGGGCGGACCCGACTAGTGACGACGTGGGAGCCCTGTTCGTCTTCAATAAATCCGGGGAGACCGGCAAAGAGGGTGTGGTGCATTTTTTAAAACACAGTGGGAAAACATGCACATTTTATTAAACACAAAGGGGTTTGGTGCAATTTATCCTTTATTTTCATCAGCGAGTCCTTGATGGTTATATAATTCCTGCAATTTGAGATAAGAGAGAATCAAGTTAATCGAAACACATGCAATAAGTTAGTGTTTGTTTTCATATAATCTTATGGAAAGATTTTAGAAATAGTGCCTGCAGTTGAGTACTTGGTGGCTTTACTATCATTGACAACTGTGTATATTATTATATATTTTCAAGGATTAATTACCAAAAAATCTCAACCTTTTATTTAGTTGCATATTAAACTCAACCTTTTTAATTTTGCACCAAAATACAAATACCTTTTAAGTATTGAATATTGTCTCAAAGTTGATTTCCGGCCAAGGTCCGCTG